TATCTACCCCCATACACCCCATCTATCTATCTATCTATCTATCTATCTATCTATCTATCTATCTATCTATCCTGTCTGTGCGTTTTTACTGCCCTCACCCCACTGAATTTCTCCCACCCCCTTGTCCTGTTTCTACCCCTCCTCGTCCCCAGCTCTCTCCTCGCTGTTACACCCGGCGGCTGAGGTTTGGCCGGTTGAGCCTGACCCTGGCCTGGGTGACTCTGGCGCTAATCCAGAGCGACTGCAGCCGAGCCGGGGTGACTCTGGGTTGAGACGGGTCTGGGGCTCGGGGCAGGGGCAGGGGCTGGCCCCAGTGGCTTTGCTGCTAACGCAGTCGGTTCCATAGGCTCTCGTTTCCCTGGGCTCCCTCATTCCCACCTGGCAGGATGTGAGGGGCGATGCTTCCCCCCTTTCCCTGCAGCCAGAGCGGGGGCTGTGATCTCGGGGGGCTCTAGGAGTCGCTGGTTAACACCCCCCAACTGGCCAGAGAGTGGGGGGATTTCTCCAGCTCTGGGGGGCGGGGGTGGAGACACCCCCATGTAGAGCCGGAGACTCACCCCCACCCGCTGCTTTGTCTTTCGAAAACACGAGTTAGAGGGAAAACTGCGCCCAGGCAGAGACTGCGCGGCTGATTGAGTCGTGCTCCGGGGCGGCTAGATGGCTGTATGGGGACCAGGGAGCCAGGACGCCTGGGTTCTATGCCCAGCTTTGGGAGGGGAGCGGGGTCCGGTGGTTAGCGCAGAGGGGCTGGCAGCCAGCCTAGACCCACTTGTTTGTCAAGCTGGTTGAACAACAGTCACACTCCTGCCTCCCTGGGGCTTTGGGAGGCTTCCTCCGTCAGTCTGTAGCACTCCCAGGTCCTTAGATGAAAGGTGCTTTAAAACCCCAGCCCAGCCCCTCCTCCCCCGGGAGATGCTGGCACTGGAGTAGCCAGGAGCTCCCGGCACAGCCAGCTCCTGCCCCACTCCCCACAGCGCCCCCTGCTGGGAGAGGCTGGAACTGGAGTAGCCAGAAGCTCCTCCCACAGCCAGTGCTCCTCAGAGCCCCCTACTGGGAGAGGCTGGGACTGGTGTAGCAGGGAGCTCCCCACACAGTCAGTGCTCCCGCCCTGCTCCCCACAGTCCCCCCTGCTGGGAGAATCCCCCACCCATGGGTGACTGTGAACCCTCTCTCCCAGGGTGACCCCATGGAGCCCAATGGCAGCAGCCCCCGGCCCGGGAACACCAGCCACCCCAAGGATCTCTTCGCCGGCCTGGAGCTGCTGCTGCAATTCAAGCCGCTCTTCATCCCCCTCTACTGCCTCCTGGTGGCCATGGCCTGCCTGGGCAACGCCTTCCTGGTGGGCTGCATCGCCGCCAACAAGAAGCTGCACAACGCCACCAACTTCTTCCTGGGCAACCTGTCGCTGGGCGACCTGCTGATGTGCCTGATCTGCGTGCCCCTGACGGCCTCCTACGCCTTCGAGGGGCGGGGCTGGCTCTTCGGGCGCGCCATGTGCCACGCCGTGGCCCTGCTGCAAGCCGTCACCGTCTACGTCTCGGTGCTCTCGCTGGCGGCCATCGCCGTGGACCGCTACGTGGTGGTGGCCTACCCCGTGCGGCGGCGCATCGCCCTGCGCTACTGCGGCCTGGTGGTGGCCACCATCTGGGCCCTGGCCCTGGCCCTGGCCGCGCCGCCCGCCTGGCACATCAGTTACGTGGATCTGCGGCCCATCGGACACGACGTGATCATCTGCGAGGAGTTCTGGAGGCACATGGAGAGGCAGAGGCTGGCCTACTCCTGCGCCATGCTCCTCCTCTCCTACGTGGTGCCCCTCCTGGCCGTCACCGTCTCCTACTGCTCCATCTCGGCCCACCTTCGCCGGAGGAGCCTGCCCGGCTCGGCCAACCTCAGCCAGGCCCGGTGGGACAAGAAGAAGCGCAAGACCTTCCTGTTGCTGGTGGTTTCTGTCCTGGTCTTTGCCCTGTGCTGGCTGCCCTTGCAGGTCCTCAACCTCCTCCGGGACCTGGACCCCGATTTCACCCTCCTGGGCAAGCGCTACATCAACCTGGCCCAGGTCTCCTGCCACCTGGTCGCCATGAGCTCGGCCTGCTACAACCCCTTCATCTACGCCTCGCTGCACCGCAAGTGCCGAGCCCACCTGCTCGGCTACGTCCGGCACAGGCAGCGGCACAACGGGCAGTGCGCCCGCGCCAACACCTGCCTCAGCCTCCTGCCCGACGCCCCGGGACTGGGACAGGGCGATCGAGCTGCCGGGGACAACGCGGTCTAGGGAAGGGCCCTGCAACCCCTCCCACTGGGAGCAGGGTCCGGCTGCCGTGCCTTGGGTGCGCCCTGGGGCTTAGGGCATGGGGACGGGGATGCACCGTGGGCATTAGGGATCAGGGTGGGGGAACCAGAGAAGAAAGGAGCGGGTGGTGCATTGGGGTGGGAATCAGGACTCTTGGGTTCTGTGCTGCTTTGGGAGGGGAGAAGGGTCTAGTCGGTTGGAGCAGGGGGATGCTGGGAGCCAGGACTCCTGTGTTCTCTTTTTAGCTCTGCCACTGATACCTTGTCTGACCTCGAGCCCTAACTGCGTTCTGCCCGTGCCTCAGTTTTTCTCTCTGTTTAATGGGACTACAGACCCCGACCTACTTCCGATCGCACTTGCATCTGTTGTGTGAGCGCTGCACGATTGTTTGTCACTTTAATGCCATTATCCAAATCCCGCCGTCACCCCAGCCCGCCACCTCCTCTCCCCTGCCTTTTGGGAGGCAGCCGCTCCTCAACAGACATCGTCATCCACAGTACGGACCCACCAACTCAAAGTGGCCCCAGACCCTGCCAGAACAACAGATGAAAAACCTGCCGCCATAGCTCCACCGCTGCAGTGATCAGCGCCCCCCACAACACACCGTTCAAGGTCCATGGGTCCTGCACAACATGTGGTGTAACCTCAGCCAGTGCACTAAACACCCCCATCACAACCACGTGGGTGGAGCCAGACAATCCCTGCGCTCACAAATGAGCTCTCACAGGAAAATGACAAAAGACAACCCCCCCCCCCCCCGTCCCCTGTGGGCGAACACTTTCCACAAAGCGATCGCTCCATAACTGACTTCTCCTTCCTCCTCCTCAACGGAAACCTGCCCAACACTTTCAAACGAGGAGCCCGGGAGTTTAAATTCCTAACTAGTGTGATGTTGCACCCCATAATGCTTTACAGAAATATGCTTATGAGTGTAAATATGACATAACTGGCATATGTTTTTGTGACGAAGTGGGACTGTTCTTAATGTTTTCTCTGAATATTGTGTGGGTGCCTCAGTTTCCCCTATGCAGTTCTTAAGTATCTAGGTGGTGGGAGAAGGGGGTGTGATTGTTGTAGAGCCCTAGAGGGCAGATGTGATGCTGTCTGGACAGAAAATGGCCGACAGTCTGTCTCTTGGCAACTAATGACCTGGGCCCCTCCCCTACAAAGGTGCCAGCTGAAGGTGTTGGAGAACAATGGGATCAGGTGACCTCCTGGCCCGGGAAAGGGACAAAGGAAGAGGAGGGGCTGGAGAGTTTCAGTTTGGAGCTGGCTGGGGACGTGGAGTGAGTGCAGACGTGGGTGTCTGGCTCACTGCCCCCCAAAATGGACCTGGCTGAAGGGTCCTGTTCTCTGTACCCACAAGCTCTGTTTTAGACCGTATTCCTGTCATCTAATAAACCTCTGTTTTACTGGCTGGCTGAGAGTCATGTCTCACTGCGAAGTTGGGGTGCAGGACCCTCTGGCTTCCCCAGGACCCCGCCTGGGCGGACTTGCTGTGGGGAGCGCACGGAGGGGCAGAGGATGCTGAATGCTCCAAGGTCAGACCCAGGAAGGTGAAGCCGTGTGAGCTTCTTACCCTGGCAACAGTCTGCTCCCAGAGAGGAGACTTCACCAGAGTCCTGACTGGCTTCATAGGGAGCAGTTCCAGAGCCTCGCCATGACAGTTTTGTGCTAGATACGCCATGTAACATATCTCTGCAAAGGTTATGATCTACTGGATATATTCATCCTATTTACATGCATGTATCATTTTTGTATTCGAAGTTTTGAATATTGGCTAGGTACTTGTTTGATTTTAAGTAGCCTCAGTGAAGCGATTGGCCAGCTTCTTGAGAATAGACTATTCTCAGTAAGTGCCCAATCAAGAAACACTTAAGCTTACAATGAACTTTGAGAGATGCCAATCCACATCTGAGCTTCCCTGGGAATGTAGCTCGGCCTGTAAAGTTCTGGGTCATCCATGGACATGTGACTTGCCCATATGACTCCAAAACTCCATCTTGCAGCTGGATTCTGCATAGGAGAGGGGAGGGGGTTTCCACCCCCAAGAGAGAGTCTATTTAAGCCTCTGGAACCCCCTCCATTTTGGTCTTCAGCTGGCTCAAGAGATGGCCTCTCCACCCCAAAGGATATCTGAAAGAAACTGGAACAAAGGAAAGTAACTACAGGGGGTGTGAGTGATTGCTGGACCCAGACTAGAAGGAGGCTAGTCTGTAAAAGAAGCCTATTGAAACATCTCTGAGGGTGAGGTTTTATCTGTATTCAGTTTTCCTTCTGTATTAGGCATAGGCTTGCGTGTTTTATTTTATTTTGCTTGGTAATTCACTTTGTTCTGTCTGTTATCACTTGGAACCACTTAAATCCTACTTTTTGTATTTAATAACATCACCTTTTACTTATTAATTAACCCAGAGTATGTATTAATACCTGGGGGGAGGGGGCAAACAGCTGTGCATATCTCTCTATCAGTGTTATAGAGGGCGAACAACTTTTGAGTTTACCCTGTATAAGCTTTATACAGGGTAAAACGGATTTATTTGGGGTTTGGACCCCATTGGGAGCTGAGCATCTGAGTGTTGGAGACAGGAACACTTCTGTAAGCTGTTTTCAGTTAAGCCTGCAACTTTCGGGGCACGTGGTTCAGACCTGGGTCTGTGTTGCAGCAGGCTGGCGTGTCTGGCTCAAACAAGGCAGGGCACTGAAGTCCCAAGCTGGCAGGGAAAAGAGGCTCAGAGGTAGTCTCAGCACATCAGGTGGCAGCTCCCAAGGGGGTTTCTGTGACCCAACCCATCACAACTAGAAATCCTGGTCTGAGCGGAGAGCCTGGATTCATGGCTTATTACAGCAATCGGTAGCCCACCAACCCCTCTTTGTGTCCTGTGACTGCAGGGACCTTAACGGGCCACTCTGCCTTGAATGGGCCCTTGAAATCTGTGTTCACTCCTTAATCTTGTATGGAGCTGGGATGCTCTGTACCTTTCCCAGCCCTGGAGAAGAGCTCTGTGTAGCTTGAAAGCTTCTTTCTCATCAACAGAGGTTGGGCCAATAAAAGATATCCCCTCCCCCATTTTGTCTCTCTAATATTGTGGGACCGGGACGGCTACAACCACACTGCACATGCTCAGCATTTGGGCTCGCACTGAAAGGCACCGGTGGTGCCGCGGGCGTTCTGCTAAATCTGGCGCATGATCGTCACACCGGTACCGGAGTGTGTGCCAGCTCCCGGCTCTCACCACATTTCTACACCAGCGACTGGCTAGTAGGACTTGCTGGGCCACCTGTCGGAATCAAGGCTGGTCAAGACCTGTTCACTGACTAAGGGCTGCCTGGATTGTGGGGAAGTGTAGCGGGATGGTTACCCGCTCCTGCCCTGAGGGGTTTAAAACTGCCCTGGAGAAGGGCTGCAGCTCTAAAAGCTGGGCTGATTGGGGAAGCAGCCGCAGCTGGGCCACGCCCCAATCAGGCCACAGCTGGCCTTATATAAAAAGGCTGGGAGCCAGAGGCCAAGCAGTCTCTCTCCAGAGAGAGAAGGGCCTGGCTGCAGGGATCTAGAGGTAGGGTACCTGAGTGGAGCAGGGCTGGGGAGCTCCAGCCTGGAAAGCCCCCGGCTGCGGCCTAGCATAAGGCCAACAGGTACTGGGGGTTGCAGAGGGCAGCTCAGGGTTAGGCCAAGGCAGCAGGTCCAAACCCCCCTTGCCAGTGATGAGTGGCCGATACTGCAGTCTGCCCCAGGGAGCGGGGGCTAGTTAGTGACTGCCAGTGGCCTAGTACTGAGGCAAGGTGGGGATAGTGGGTGGGGGTTCCCCAGGGAGGGGAGACCCAGATCTGTGGGGTACTGCTAGGGGGCAGCACCCAGAGCAAGGGGCACCGGGGTCCTGGGAGGGACACGGGGGCCAGTGCGTGAATCACCGGCCTGTAGAGGGCGCTCCAGATGCTGAACGAGCTGATTCCCAGAGTCACCAGCAGGAGGTGCTGCAGGGGTGAGTCCGCTCCTCTACACGAAGTCAGAGAATTTCAGCCCCACCCTCCACGCTGTGGGGTTGAACGTCGCCTGGCAGAAGACCAAGATCCAGACCTGGGAGCTGGGCCAGCAGAACCCCGGGTGCAGGTAGAGCCAAGCACCGTGGGGATGAGTTCATCTACCTAGACTGCTGGCAGTGTTTGACCGGTCACAGCGAACGGGACGCTCCCCCACGGAGAGGTCTCGCCACTTCCTGCCTGAGTCCAGGTCTCACTACGGACATGGTCTGACTTCATGTGAAATGTCTCAGTCCCACAACGATCTGTCCTTCCTCCAGCCGCTCATTGTTTTCAAAAGCCGCATTGCCCGTTCTCCAGCCACATCACCAGGATGGACAACCTCGCCCACTCAGCGCACCGTGCTCTCCAATGCTGCACCGATGTGTGACCGGGGGGGCCACGCCCTGACCTGATGGGGCCGCCCCGAGGTTCGTGGCGCCTCAGGACTGAGCCAGATCTACACACTGTCTGGTGTGACACCATCAGCCGTGGTCACTCTGGGTGGCGCGACGGTGCTCCACAGACGGTGCGCGTTTGCGGACGATTTGGGGACGCTGTGCATGAGGCAAAGGAAACAGCTCGTCTCCCCCTGACACCTGGGGTGCCCCGATGCACTTTCCAATTGGAAGGTTTCTGGAGCTGGACACGGCACGGAAATGAAGGGGGGAAGGAAAAGATCATCTCCAGGGGAAATTGCAGCCTGATCTCCAGGGCGCAGGGTGGCTGTGAGAGGAGCCAATCGGAGCAAGAAGTGCGTGTAGTGAGGCCGAGTGGCCCCCCTCAGAGCAGGAGAGCGAGGGACCATTACATGCCTCTTGGAGGGCGGAGCCTAGATCGCCCCGTCCCCATCGCCGGAAGTACCGGGGCGTGGCCGGAAGTAGAAAAGGCAGCACAGTTGGAGGGAAGCCCGTGGAGAAGGACGCTCTGCCGGTTCGGCCGTGTCCCCGAGAGGAACCCTCGCCGAGCGGTGCCCCATCCGCAGACGCCGACGAGGACTGGCCCGGAGCGCCTGCTGCTGTCTACCCCGAGGAGCCGGAAGAGGACTGGAGGCTAGAGGGACCGAACCCCGGGGTGGCAGGAAGTACCCCAGGGGCAGCCACGGAGCAGCCGGCTGCAGAGCTCGGCGTGGCTCAGTCGGCGTGTTGCGGCTGGATCCCCGCCGACGCAGGGGCAGCCAATCCTGCCCCTGCCCGGGCCCTGGGCTGGGACGCGGTGGAGTAGGGTGGGCCCGTGTCCCCCTGCCGCCCCACCCTGGGGTGGCTGACTCCTTACTGGGCAGGGAAGTTCAGGCCCTGAGGAAGGAGCTTCCCTTACCAGCTCACCTGTAGACTGTTCGTTCGCTGGCTGCCTGCGCCCCGCCCAGGCCAAAGCCAGCCCGGATAGGTTCTGTTTAAGGGTTGCCTGGCGCGAAGAACCAGCCTGAGTGGCCCCGCTCCGAGCGGAAGAGCGAGGGACCATTACAGGCGGTCTAATTCAAAGTCAATTGCCTGCTTGGGCTTCTGTAGCGCCAGCAGAGCCAGCCGTTCAAAGTTCCTTGGGGAGTCAGTTGAGCCGGAGCTAATGGAACTGGGAAGGTTCGGTCTCTGCAGACGCCTGGCCCGTGTTTCCATTAACCCTCGGCCCCGATGCGGACGCAGCGGGAGCGAGCGCGCTGGCCTCGCGTCGTCTCTGCCGCACGCTGATTTCCCTGCGCCCAGCTTGGGCGGCAAAGCCAGCGGCGTCAATTTCATGTTCCGTGTGTAATTGGTTTCTGCTTTGATTAAGGTTACTGAATGACAGCAGCGTCGCTAGTTCCACCCGAGAGCAGAGCAGAGCTGCATTGCGCTGGGCGCTGCCCAGACACACAGCACACGAGATCGGGGTCCCGTCGGGCCAGGCGCTGCCCAGACACACAGTGACCGAGATCAGGGCCCCATTGCGCCGGGTGCTGCCCAGACACACAGTGACCGAGATCAGGGCCCCGTCGCGCCAGGCGCTGCCCAGACACACAGTGACCAAGATCAGGGCCCCGTCGGGCCGGGTGCTGCACAGACACACAGTGACCGAGATCAGGGCCCCCTCGTGCTGGGCGCTGCCCAGACACACAGTAACCAAGATCGGGGCCCCATTGGGCCGGGCGCTGCCCAGACACACAGTGACCGAGCAGCACCCAGCACCCGGCGCGAGGGGGCCCTGATCTCGGTCACTGTGTGTCAGGGCAGTGACCGGCCCAACGGGGCCCTGATCTTGGTCACTGTGTGTCTGTGATCTCTACCCAGCTCTGCTGCTGGCCGACTTGGGCAAGTCACCCCGCCGCCCTACGCCTCGGTTTCCCCATCTATAAAAATACGGATAATGAATGATCGTCGCCTTCTTTATAAAGCGCTTTGAGATCTTCTGATAAAAAGCACCAGGGATTGCTCTTATTCTCCTGGCCAAAACGTTCTTTTGCCGGGGTCTAGCTTATTTCATTCAGGGCCTGTTATGAGTTATTCCAGCTAAAGAACTCTTTGGCCAGCGTAAGCTACATCTGCACAAGGTGGGCAGGTGCTGATCTCGCTAAACCAGCAACCTCTGCTAGTGCAGACACATTCTGAGCCAAGGAAGGTTGTCTAGTGGTTAGAGCAGTGGGGGGCCTCAGCAGAGAACATGGTGCTGCAAGGAGCGGGGGGCTGGGCAGAACCGCTCTCCCCACACAATCAGTGCTCACTGAAGCTGATCTGGAAACCGAATTTCCGCTCTGTGATCGTTTTCAAATCTGGGGGAAATTCTTCGTCCTGAAACAGGATGAAAAGCCAAAAACTGGACATTTTCCCCAGCACTGAAATCCTGCCAGTTTTCATTTCGGGAGCATGGAAACGGGGTGTTTCCAAAAGGAGACACTCTCCCTGGGAGCCCCACCGGCAGGGACTGACTGAAACTGACATGATTCTTGTCTGTTTCACAACTGGGCACCAGTGAAATGACCAGACTGGCCCAGCCAGGTATCCAGTCACCTGAGGGCCTCGCAGCTAATGGCACCCACAAAACTGGGGCCACAGTGGGTACAAAATTGGGAGTGTGGACTGGGAAGCTGGTTTTAAACAGCTAGATTTACTTGGATTTCCTGATGTTTATTCCAGTGTGAGTGTGATAAATGAGTGTGGGGGGGGGGGGTAGCTCCCTTTTGTGGAGACCCAGCCAGCCAGTTGGCTATGGAATCCCTCCTGGTGGTTGTTCTCTACTTGCTTTACCTGTAAAGGGTTAACAAGCCCAGAGGTGAAAGGAAGGGAGTGGGCACCTGCCCAAAAGAGCCAATGGGAAGGCTAGAACTTTTAAAAACTGGGAAAAAACTTCCCTTTGTCTATGTGTAGTTGTTCTCTGGGAAAGAGGGGAACGGGGAGCAGTTATGCTGTGAGAAGCTGAAAGCCAGGTATGAAAAACCATCTGATCATACCTAGAGATTGCTTAATACCAGCCTGGAGTGGCCAGTATTAATTTTTAAAATCCTTGCGGGCCCCCACCTTCTGCACTCGAAGTGCCAGAGTGGGGAATCAGCCCACATCCCCAGTGATGTCAGGAGACCAAGCGACTTATCTGTGGTTAGAGTAGGGAGGGACGGGGAGTCAGGACTCCTGGATTCAATTTCTGGCTCTCCACTGATTTGCTGTGCGACTATGGGTGAATCAATCTGTCTCACTGTGCCAGTGCCGTAGAATGGGTTTCACACCCCCTTTGTCAAGTGCTTTATGATCCTCAGGCAGCCGCTGCTTCTTGGAGCTGTGGTGTTATTACCCGGAGTTTTCCTTTTTTCTCCCCCACCCAGTGGCCCCAGGAAGAGCAAAGCAGCAAACTTCAGCTTCGGTCCTTGGAGATTCGCCGGCTAATTCACATTCCTGGCTTCTAATTTCATAAGAAAACGACCAAGGGCCCTTCAGAGATTTCTCTTGCTAACCCTCACTCTCAGCTTTGCGCAGTGATGCTGGAGCCTGGCTTCTGAACAAACTCACCCCTCGGCCTCTGGGTCCTTACACAACTTTAATACACACAGAGCCAGAGAAATGGTGAACCCAGGAGTCCCGACTCTCCAGCTCTAACCACTAGACACCACACTCCTCCCAGTGCTGGGGAGAGAATCCGGGTGTCCTGGCTCCCTGCCCCCCCCCGCTCTAACCACTAGATCCCACTCCCCTCAGAGCCGGAGATAGAACCAAGGCTCCCAGCCCCACCTGCTCTAACCATGGGATCTAACTCCCCTCCCAAATAGCTAGCTAGCTCGACTGAGCAATCGATGGGTCACCTAAAATGCACCCTTTGGACCCTTGCGCTTTGGTCTCTTTTCACTTTTTAAAGATGTTCAGACCGACAAGAGTCCCTGCTTCCCCATCACAGACAGTAACCGAGGGTTGGTCTCAGCCTCCCCACTGCCCAGCCCAGCCCAGTTGCACCAGACCCAGGCGCTAACACAAATCACATGAGCCCAGCTTCTGGAAGGCCCGGCCGCCCGGCGCGAGGTGTCCCAGGCCTCCTCCGGAGGGGGATAACAGACTGGAGAGAGGCGCTCGGAAATAGAACTGTCAGCTGGAGCCTGGCTCCTTCGATGCGCCGGCTCCCGTCTCAGCCATTGCGTCTGACTAGAAACAAAATAACCGGACTGCTGTTTGATTTTGCTGGTTGGAGATGTGGGGGCTGGGGATGAGAGCAAACCTCAGAGCCCATCAGGAGCAGGGCACGCTGGGGACCCGGGGCAGGAGCCTGCTGGAACGATACACAAATCTAAACCCGGCAGTTAAGACTTTGGAGAGATGCCATTGCCGTAGCAACAGAAATACCAGGCAGATTCTTGCTGTGAAGAGTAAATATTGGCTGCAGTGGCTCACCGGGCCTCAGCTGGGCACCAGATCCCCCCGGGTGCCCATCGTGCAGGGCTGGCGCCATAGCCACCTGGCCTGGCTCTTGGCTTGGCATATGGGGTGGATTAAGTGCTCCGAACAGCAGTCTGAGACATACAAAGAGACGGGAGCTGCTTAGTGGTTCTGGCTCTCAGATGCCCCGCAAGTCTCCGAACGCCGCCAGGTCGCAGTTCCCAGTCCAGAGAACAAGGGTCAGGATCCCTTTGTCTGTACGGACTATAAACTCCTTCGGACAGAGGCTGTGTGTCTGTATAGTACCCGGCGCGATGGGGCCCTGATCTCGGTCGCTGTGTGTCTGTATAGTACCCGGCGTGAGGGGACCCCGATCTCGGTCACTGTGTGTCTCGGCAGCGCCCGGTATGACGGGCCCTGATCTCGATCACTATGTGTCTGGGCAGCGCTCGGCGCGACGGGGCCCTGATCTCGGTCACTGCGTGTCTGGGCAGCTCCCGGCGTGACGGGGCCCTGATCTCGGTCACTGTGTGGGCAGTGTCCGGTGCGACGGGGCCCTGATCTTGGTCACTGTGTGTCTGGGCAGCGCCCGGCGCGACGGGGCCCTGATCTCGGTCCCTGTGTGTCTGGCCAACGCCCTGCCCGACAGGGCCCTGATCTCGGTCACAGTGTGGGCAGCGCCCAGCGTGACTGGGCCCTGATCTCGGTCACCGTGTGTCTGGGCAGACTCCGCACAGTTGGGTTCTATGTGGTCCGTCAGTCCTGCCGTGCTGGAGATGCTGATGTTCGGCTAGACAGGAACAAGCAGAGACACGGTAGGAGAAGCCCATTCAGCACAATGAGGGGCTAGCGGCTTTCTTCGCACTCTGAATTTCCTCTGAGAGGGAGCAGAGGGGGAAATAGGCTCTGGGGTCTCCCGCCCGTCCCTGCTGTGCGGGTTCCCTGCAGGGAGCAGAGCCTGGTGGGCGGCTGCCTACCTGTGCAATTCATTGAAGCCAAATTGGGGGGAATTATCCCCAGCAGCTGCAATTACACCGGCCAGCAGCAGGAAATCGTTGCCGGCTCCCCTCTCGGCTCCAGCAAATTGCCTGTGATTAGCCCAGGATTGATCAACTCCCTGTGCCTAGCCGCGGCAGGTAAAGGACAAAAGGGCCATTCTGGATCCGGGGAGAGGGAGGGGCAGGGGCAGGGTTTAATCCCAGGAGCAACTGGCCGGGGTGGCACAGGTACAAGGGGCCCAAGAGCACGGGATGGGGAGCAGCAGGGCAGGTCCTGAGCAGCCACCGAGCCCCTCAAGAATCGCTGTGCTGCTCAGCGGTATCTGCTTCCAAACCAGCCTCCCCACTGCTCCCATCACCCCACCTCCATCAGCACCTGCCGCCAGAACCCCTCAACTCCACCCCAACCCCCATCCCCTGCCACCAGAAACCCTCAACTCCACCCCACCCCCATCCCCTGCCACCAGAACCCCTCAACTCCACCCCAACCCACATCCCCTGCCACCAGAAACCCTCAACCCCACACCCAACCCCCATCCCCTGCCACCAGAACCCCTCAACTCCACCCCA